TTTTTTTTGGAATGAGATTCTTAAACTGAATAACTCTTTGGCAAGATTAGAAGTCACGTGGTCTACTCTACAGCTGGGCATGGTACCCCACTCCCCGCTCGATTAAATATTTAGTCATTGTTGTGCAATATTGGACAGTTAGTTTTCCGCAAATGAAGTAGAGGTCGCTGAGCTCGGGTGATCTTTGACGACCTTTCGCTTCCCACTACTCGCTTATCAGTTGTGATTCAGCGTTAGCCTAGACATTTCCAAGAAAACTACAAAAAATTCTCTGGCGACTGTTCGTAATCCCTTATTTTATCGTCATGCGATCGCCTAATTTTTTAAACTTCATATTTCAGCCCATTATAGATAAGGTAAAAAATAGTTGTGATAAAGACAGGATAATAAAACATCGCATTTTTCTCCTACAATGCTAAATTTTTAAAATCTGCAAGAAGAATGCATTAGACTTTTTCATGTTGCCACTTTTAACTACGGCAGCACTGAAAGCCCGTGGTGGAGTTGAAAAGTCGGTGAAAGTTGTGTTGGATGTAATTACACAAATCAGAGGAAGAGACACCTCTATATTAGCCGTGGCACAGCATTGATCATCAGCAGCTACTCTCGGAAGCGGATCATGAACGGAGTTCTGTGTGGCGGTCAGTGATTTCTGCAGTTACACACCTCGCAACTTTGCACCGACTTTTCAGCTCCACTATATCACCCTCATAAATTTTTTAAAATGGCCGTTTTCCTTCAGAAGGGGTCGTGAGAACTGCTTGATGAAGACTCAGCATGTAACCAGGAATTTCTGCAGCACATAGAAAACCATTTTTTCAAAAAAGGAATATACAGGAAGATCTCAAAAAACTACCTTCACCCAAATATCGCTGAGATAGACCAATGCGAGTAGCCGAAGTCGTCACCTCTCAGATAGCGGTGATGTCAGCTGTTCTTATCTTGCTGCGTCGGTGCGTCGTTAACAGCCTACGATAGAAGAAGCTTTGTGAAATTTGTGAACTTTGGATGGATTGAAAATCGCTACATTCCGAAGAGTTAGTCTTTTTCTTGCTTGTGGGATTTTGACTACCATCTACTCCCCTTTTCACGGACTAAGACCTGTGAGATGGGCGAGGCCAGGCACCAGAAGTGTCTAAATAGTTTGGCGACGAATAGAAAGTTTCATATATAAATGAACTCCTCAGCGTTAAGCTAGTTACCGCTGTTTCAGCAATTCGGAAACGTATGGCGCTCCTGGCCCCGCCCACCTTACTAGTCTTAGTCCGCGAAAAAGAGTATACATACTGTCAGATGTATCCGGTGAAATACTTATGTGGGGCTGCATGTGTACTGCAAACATAGCCTAGCATCCGTTACCATCCATCAACGCTGTTGAGGAAAAAATCGCGACAACATCGTTTTTCATCTTTATTTTCAAGAATGTTTTTATTTTCAGGAAAAAAAGCCGCGAACTCGCTGGTGCTTGGTTTTTTCTCCTCTATATATTGCAAAGTTTCTCATCTGACTCTAAGCGGTAGTTTTGTCTCTCACTATTTGCTATACTGTGTTTGACCTTTTATGTATCTCATGCTTAAAGGTCTTTGCAATATATTTTTCTTGAAAAATAAAGTTTTTTTAAAATTTAATTCAGTTTTTTCAATTTCCGGTAGGATTTTTACAACCTACCGGAAATTTGGTGTTCTGCAAGCGCTAAAAAGTTGTGCTACTTTGTATAAGACACTAGCCACTAACACTGGTCATTGGCAAAGAATTTATGACTAGAAGCGATAGGAGAATGGCTCACTGTTCAAATAGTTGAATGGTAGTGCGCTAGGCCAGCAATCAGCCAATCCTGGTTCGAATCCGGATGTCGATCAGTTTTCATTCAGTTGTACTCTGTGCTTATACAACTCTGGGAAAGATCAACCACCATGGAGACACGGACAAATGGAATGGCTATTGCTCGGATGGCTCAGTGGGTAACGCATTGGCCTACCAATCTGGTGGTAGCGGGATCGAGTCTCGCGATCTCCACTGCAACGGAGGATGTTTTGAGTGACGAAGTACATAGGTCTTTGACAGATTTGGCGAAATCATGGCTATTTGTGGGACAAAGTTGCCAGTGTCAAAACAGCATGTATAGCTGAGCGGTTAGAGCGTTGGAATGGTGGGATGGAGGTCGCTGGTTCGGATCCTGGTTGCTGCGGTGAGTGGATAATTTGTATGATTGAGGATTGTATTGCGTTTCGGGGCACTGGGGGTGTTGGGGAACACCGGCTCAATTTCCTCGGATAAAATGGGGAAGTTTGGACTAATTGGTTGGGTGAGGAGGGAGTTATTGCAATTTTGGTTTTTTTTCTTGTGTTATCACACTCATAGTATTGTACTCTTGTTCACTCCGTTTTCTTCGCCCTTGGTCTTCGCTCTCCTTGCCCTGGGCCCCGCGCTTCTCTTGCTTCCTTGCCCGTCTTACCCTGCTCCACCTTGCTCTCGGCTGGGTTCTCACCGCCTTTCCCCTAACTTGCCTGCGACGCCTCCCTTCGATCGGCTTACTTACCTGCTGAATGTTGCATTTTCCTGCTCCGTACCTTTCGCAGGTAGGCCGAAATCCAATAAATGAATGAAAAATCTGGACGACACCCATAAAACCCATCCCTCAGTGCGCATTTAATGCTCAACCTCGTCTGTAGTCAAGTTCTTGTGACCTTGACAACCCAGCTCAGGCTGACTAGTCCTCCGACTGCTCTACCTTTCGATAGGGCATCCACAAATCAACGGCCGTCACAGGGTTCGAACCCTGGACTACCGGTTCGGTGGTCTAGTAGCTTAGCCACTAGTCCATCCCGACACGTTTTGAAGCGACAACTGGGAGACAGATATACCTTGGGAAGTGAAAATTCGTGCAATATAAGGTATCTCAGCGATTGGAATTTGTCTAAGTCCTTGAACTGCCTCCTAATCTGGTCCTATGATATTCCACACAACTCTCGCAATCCCTGAGGAAAAATT